GGGCATCATCACAGCTCACAGCAATCTCCAACTCTTGGGCACAAGCGATCCTCTTGCCTTGGCCTCCCAAGTAGGTGGGACTACAAGTGTACACCACAATGCCTGGTTAGTTTTTCTATTTATAGAAGAGAGAGGATTTTGCTCTCGCTCAGGCTGGTCTTGACTTCTGAGCTAAGGTGAGCTACCCACCTCAGCCTCCCAGAGTGCTAAGATTATAGGCTGAGCCACTATGCCTGGCCCTGGATTATGATTCTTGAGAGGTCCCTGCAATACATAGAACAACTTTGAGATTTCCTAGGGGAGGTAGGTATGAAGTTAACTGAGCATACAGTGTAGGGTCCCACCACTCTCTTCCAAGTGAGTCCCCTTCTCTTTTATTTATACAAAGAATACATGCACTAGGGGGAAAAGTTAAGTGAGTCACTAGCATCTTTTATTCCAGGCTCTACGTTGAGAAGATTACTTTAGGGAACTCCCTTTTCAAAAGTCTCCTTTCAAATGACTAAAGCAGGAACCCTCTTAATTCCTCATATTCCTTGGAATACAATTTATGTAACTTAATGATCATAAATCGTTTGTTTTAGCACTTGATACTCTTTCAATTTCAATTTCTCTTGAGTTCTAGAGAAAAAAGTGGAACACTGATGAACTGGATTTAGGGAGAGATGATGGTACGTGGTTTGCAGTTTAGTGCTACGTACAAAAGTTACACATGGGTCTCTCTTGGTAAGTTTTACTATTTGTTACATGTTCCAAATTAAAAAGAAAATCCATCTATATAGTTTATTGTTACTATAGATACACATTTCATTTTTTAATTGTGTTTTAAAATAATACTATATGAACTTTAATGAATCTATTTTACTTTTTCTTCAATTCTCAAGGTATATTTGGAGAAGTAAAAAAGAGAAAAATTCACTTTTCCTAAGATTTTTATAATCTAAGGTAAAATAGATCAGCTATCCTTCGTATACATTACATGGGACTTCTACAAAGTGTTAACACAAGCAGATGAGCTTTCCTATTCTACTGCCTCTAACAGATGTACTGTAAAATATTCCTTTCATATAATCCCCCAAATGTTCCTGACCCAAATGAACAGTATACGCCATGTAATTTGTGCAGAGACTGCAGTCTACAGGTGATAAGTGGTGAACATTTTTAACTTTTAATCTGTTAGAAGAGCAAGTTTTCTGACCTTTTTTGAAGGGAAGATTTTGCTGTTACCCTTAGGGGGCTCTTACGAACACAATTTAGAATCTTCATCGTTTAATAAGCATCGAACAATTAACATCCTAACATTTCTGCAAGAAGACAACTTGCAGCAACACACACAATTTTAAAATGGTTGGAGAAAAGCCCTCTGTCATCACAGGGCACTTTCTTTGCCTGGGTGAGTTATTTTCCACGGTGATGCTGGCGCACACCCATCTCACACCGCTTCCCAGAGGGGGAGCACGAGCCAGCCAGCAGTTTCCTCTCCTGTCCTCCCTCTGACTTGAAAGCAGCCCACATTTGTGCCCATTTTTTCCCCTCTTGCAGTAATCGTGCCATAGGAGGCAACCCCAACATATCCAATGGGCAGGACTTAGAAGTGTCAGCTGTTCTGCCTACAAACGGGGTGAAGTTTATATCCACGTTGGAGAAAGCTGTTCTTTAATCTCTTCATTCTCGTAAACCAAGCAAAACCATGGGTTCTTACTATGTTCTCTGAAATATTATCCTACTGGCCAGACCACTGGAGCAGCATGTGGGGGATGTGTGGGATTCTGGCCTTGAACTTATTCTGCATTTGTAACAGTATTTATCACCTATAATTTGTAAATGAGATTCTGTATGGTTGCCCCTGGAAACCATCTAAAAGTCTGAATTCTCTGTGCTTGGATTTTAGATCATTAATGACCAAGAGACTCCTAAGGTACATTTGACATTTGTTCTTTTCTTTTTTTTTAGTGGAATGGCAACTGGTTTCCTTATGGTGGTTTCTCTCTCTATATATTAATGTATTTTCAGTTATTCAGTTCAATGCTACACTCAGTCTAACACTGGTTTATTACTAGTCTAAGCATAATGCTGCCTGCTCCAACTGACACTAGCAACTCAGGGGTAGTGATGTACTAAGTAAGGGAAAAGACTCTGGCCCACACCAATGAACAATAGAGCCAGCTCAGGAAATCAATGCCACGGACACAGAGGACAGAAAGAGTGAGAGAGCTCCCAAAATGGTATCTTTAGAAGGATAAGAAATGCAGCAAGGAGTGTTTAAAATGTCCAGAACCAAAACTGGGTATATTTAAGAGAAATGAGAAGGGGAAATACAGTCAAATAAGTAAAAAAAAAAAAAAAAAGAATAACTTCACAGAAATTTCACTAAATGACTTATAAAACCATAACCAGAACAATGAAAAGTGAAACACTAAGTTGGAAAAAAAGGAAAATAAATTATGTAGAGCTGTGGCTGCTCAGCTCAGTGTGAGTTGATGATCAGATAAACGCTCAATGTAAAATGAATATTCTGACAGAGAGCACGGACCAGTCCTCGTATCTTCAGATCAGATGAATTACTGGAGAGCATATAATATTCTGATTTATGTATGCATAATTGTGCTCTCCATAAATGGTGAATCCCATGTAGTCTAGCACTTGTCTTAAGAAATAATATTCTCTTTTAAAAATGTCTCCATCAAGTAAGAAATTTTATTACTTTTAAAATAAAGTTAGAATATATACATTCAAAAACACCAAAATAACGTGACCATAGATGGTAGGAAGAGAAATTACAATCTAGTCTCTTAATGTTTTGTCCTGGAAATTACCTTTAATAGTTTCCAGATAATTAAAATCAAAATTAGATCATGTCACACACTTATAATTTTATAAAGATTCAAACTACACAAATAAAATATTTGGCTTAATATGCAATTGAATTTAAAAGAGCTGAGCAATGGCAGACTAGAATTTAGTATCGCTATTCCTGGTTTTTAGTACTTTCCAGGAATTATTAAAACTTTTTCCAGAACTTGGGTTCCATTATGTCCTCAGAGTTTATAATTAAATAGAAAAAACCAGGAAAAGTGTATATTGTTCAGAACTTTCCTAGCAGTAACATGTGATAATGCCATATTAAACATTCACTACTCTGCATAAACTGTAGAAATGTACCATAGGCGCTCAAACTAAAATACAGGGCACTTAGTAATGAAGACACACAAAATATCTTTTATTGAAAACTGTGGTAATTATTTTTTCACTGAAAATAATATAATGACTTATTTCTACATGAAGGTCTCAAACTGAAATGCAGTATTTTATATGTTAAAAAATTAATAATTTTTTAGTAAAATTTCATTTTGTGTTTCCTATTCAAATATTGATCACTTCTTTTCGTGGCCTCTCTTTTCAACTTTTTAGGTTCGGATCTTTTTTTATGCGTGGGGGGTTTTGCTACTATTTCCAGAATCTAAGTACACTCAATTTTCCTCAAAGTGGGGGAGGCTAATATACAGACTAAGGGAATCTTTAAAAATATGCTTTTAACATGAGTCTTTCCAGCCCTTAACTTAGCACCTTGCTGACTTCCCAGGACAGGAAGGCATCTATGTCAAGCAGCCCGCCAAGTGAGTGCCGTATTCCCACAGAGTAGATTTCAGCATCAGAAAAGACCTAGAAAAAGGAGCTACACCACAAAGAGGAAGGGCCCAGGGCTGGGGTGAAGGGAGAGGCTTACCACAGGGGCGTCTGCCATGTATTACAGATGCTGGCTCTGCCATCTGGCTCACACCTGGGCTACTACTATAAATTCCTCAGTTTTAACTGAATTGGGGTGTGCAGAAAATATGATATAGAATATAAATAATTATCCCAATCATTCCTCCTTCATTAAGACCACAGGACTTCTATACTATCCAGCCTGCCCTGTGCTAGCACAGAAAGGAAGTGAAATAACGGACCACAATATGGTTTCTCTCAAAACCTCTGTAGTGACCAGCACATGAGTAAGGCGTCCTCTCTCTTTTAGGAGATTGTGGGAACAATACAAGAGACTGGGACAAATGTTGTAGGAGAAGTAGCAGAATATACTGGAGCTGACAAGAGGATATCAATCGTGTCCCTTCCTAACTTCAGGTTCAGTACCTTTATGCTGGTAGCTTAAAATCAGCTGAGGGAGTGGGGATTTACATCATGAAAATCCCCAAATGTTACAAATGAAGGCCATTTCTTCCTGGAAGACGACTGCTGATTCTTATGCTTGGAGGCACAAGAAAAATTTTCAATGAAACAGTGACAGTCTAGGATCCTGATGGCCAGATAAGCGTCGAAGAGTAGGAAGAATGATTCTCCATAGAGAGTTCTTAAACATATCAAGCCAGAATCTACATTATGTTCAGATGATGGGTGAGAAGTCTGGTGTGAATGAACTTTGGGGACACTGAGGAGAGAGGAGGGTGGGAGCGGAGGTGGAAACCACCCAGGGCTAACTTGTAAAGGCTTTAGCATAGTGGTACCTGCAAACAAGAAGTTTTGATATTAGCATATATGGAACCACATGAGATAAACGGAACTTAACTTTGCCAGGAACCAAAAAGTTGGAATGAAGGATGGGTGAAGAGAGAGATACACGTGTGTGATAAAGCAAGTATGGTCAAATG